TATTTCGCATCTGCGGGTAATAGTTTATCTCTATTAATCCAACTTCTCGACGTTGTCCAGTACATAAACATTGTGCAAGCTCTGAGAAAGGGTGATCTCAGGCTTCTCCGACACGCTCTCCAAGAACATGAAGATCGGTATGTCTCTCTATTGACATCTTACTGTACTTTTCTACATCCGAATTTGAAGGCCTTTTGTTAAACTAGTGCATGAGCATTGTAATTAGCGTAGGTGGCTTGTAGTGGATTGTAGCTGTGATGTCTGTTTGATGGGTCTTAACAATATTTCTTGATAAAGGAGTTTATCTGTTTTGAGTTATATCACTGAACAACTTAATATCAATCAGGTTCTTGAGGTCCGGTGTGTATCTTGTCTTGGAAAAGCTGGAGCTCCAAGTCTACCAGAGACTCATGAAGAAAATGTAAGAAGTATTTACAATCTATATATCCATTGAACATTCGCAGATTACTTTAGTTTCATCAACTCTTCATCGATGTTTCAGTTATATCATCCAGAAGCTGAGTGATCCAGCGAGAGCTCACCAGCTGAAGCTTGAAGTGATTGCCAAAGCACTTAGATGGCTAGAAATAGACATGGATCTTGACGAGGTTTCTTCTATGTTGTCATTCCACTCATCGCTGTTAATTACTAGAATGAATTCTGTAAACTCACTAGTTCTGAAAACATTTTTTTGCAGGTGGAATGTATAATGACGATCTTGATATACAAAAACCTTGTGAAAGGTTATTTGGCTCACAAGAGCAAAGTGGTGGTTCTAAGCAAGCAAGATCCGTTCCCTAAACTAAACGGAAAGCCTGTTGGCTCATAGATATATACATTCACATCCTGACCCTGCAAATTGCGGGTTATCCTTGTTGTATCAAGAAATTCCTTACTTCGAAATTCTTTACTCCGAAATTCTTTGTAGTAGTCTGGTAGATTTCATTTGACATAAGGAATGGTCGAGAAGTAATCAGAACATACAACGCGATTCATAAACACATTTCGAATAGTTTCAAGGAACAAATACCTTAAATATTCAAAAGCATTAGAGAATTTTTATTAAATTAACATAAGGTCATAAAACATCCAAAGATTAACATATAAACATATCTCCTCTATCTCCTCTGAGTAGTCTGGTGATGAAGCAGAAACAAGTAGGACCACTGGGTTTTGCCTCCAATTGATCAACCCTGGAAATAATTTCCTCAGACTTAAAACCTCCTAAGCATTGACCTTATACACTGCCGGTCTAATCAAACTAAAATTTTAAAAATAGATTTTAAAAAATTTGAATGCCTTAAATTTTAAAAATAGATTATGTTCTTTCCATAAAAAATTTTCAAAACCAAAATGAAAAAGAGAAAAGAAAATCAAACTAAAACTTCGTTGATTAATTCAATTTTATAAACAGTTTATATGTATCTCAATTGATAACAAAGTCAACTTATTCAATTGTATTGACATTGTAGAGCAGAAATAATTATTTATCAGTTTTAATTTCGAAATTAAATTTCAGCAAAGTTTTTTAAATATAATTTCTTTATTAAGGTACTAATTATTTTAAACTTGGTTGATAACTTTTTTTTTAGTAAAAAACCTATAAACATTACAAAAAGGCATATAAATACCGATATTTTTTTAAAAAGTGTACAATATTTGTTCACATATAACCCTTAATATGGAATTTTATTTTTGTATCTTGGTAGCTCATGTTTAGATCTTAAGGGTTAAATTGATGAGATATCTTGGGTATTTTTCACCAGAAACCACACTCAGAGTAATGCTTTGCTACCCATCTCCAAGAATGTGGGGCTTAGAGTGATGCGTTGCTACCCATGTCCAAGAATGTGGGGCTTGTTTGGTGGGAATTGTGTTTTACGGTGGTGTAATCTGGTTTGTGAAATTTAACCTTTCCACCGTCTCCATTAGAGATAATGTATCACCTTAAAGTCTTTAATGTATATCTGCTGGAGGACAAGATGAATAATCTGAAGTCTGAACACTAATATGAGCTCGAGATCTTGTAAGAGAGGATGAATGAAAAATTTGAAGAAAATATTAAGATGAAGTTTGAAGAAGAGAAGATGAAGTTGGAAGAATAGAAGATGAAGTTGGAAGAATAGAAGATGAAGTTGGAAGAAGAGAAGATGAAAGAGAAAAAGGAAAAAGCCACCAAATCAAGCTGGTTCTTCTGGCGCCATTAAAAGATGCTAACTGTTTCTAGCTCTATCTCTCACTTTCTTAGATGGCATCAAAAACATGATTTTGTGTTTTGATGTATTTTGTCATAATTTTGTGTTTTGTTGTATTTTGTTGGATTTTCAGGTTTTGGAGACATATCGGACCAACTGATGCAAAGGCTGTTTTTGTTTTATGGTTTATAAACTAGCCGCTATTCTATGTTGTTATTGTTTGTAACCTAGACTTTCTTTGTTGTTTGAATGAAGCTATGTTGTTTGACATTTAAACATCCAAGTTAAATACAGCCTTGCTTGTGTATCGCTCTCATTGTGTTCTTGCTGTTATTCTTGTACTGGATTTGACTGTGATCTGTGAGGCGTATGCACGTTTTTGCATTACTGGTATCCAACGTTTGGTGTTTGGTCTCCGATGGATTTGTGCCCATTGATTGTGTTCTAGGGTTTCATGAGAGCAACAAATCGTTTGTTTTGAATTTCATTCATGTTAGGGATCACCGAACGATTATGTTTGTAAAGAGATTGCTTAGATTTGCAACTGGAATGTTAGCATAGCAGAGGAAATTTTGCTTCATGTACCCGTTAAACTTTCCGTAGGAATCATACCAAAAGCTGAGCTTTTGCAAAATTATAATCCTCCATGAGCTAACAACTTTCCTTTTGTTCAAACTTATTTCGCATCTGCGGGTGATATTTGATCTCTATGAATCCAGCTTCTCTACCTTTCCAGTACATAAGTCATTTTGCAAGCTCTGACAAAGGGTAATCTCAGGTTTCTCCGACACGCTCTTCAAGAACATGAAGCTCGGTATGGCTCTCTGTTGACATCATAATTTGTACTGATCTAAATCCGTCGAGTTTTAAGGCCTTGTGTTAGACTAGTGCACGAGCATTGTAGTTAGCGTAGGTGGCTTGTTGTGGATTGTAGCTGTGTTGTCTGTTTGATAGGCAGGGCCGTGCCTATGCAGAGAAAAAAGAAACACTCGCCTATGGGCCCGCTTTTTTAAAAACAATTAAATTCTAACCCGTGCATCCGTACGAGAATATTTTTTATTATTTAACGAATTTTGTAATATAATTTGTGTTTTTAAGTTTAGATATAATTATTTTTATAAATATATTCTTTAATAAGTAAAAATATTGATTTTTGTGTTTAAATATATTTTTATAGTATTAAAATTAATTATGATTATAAAAATATAATTTTAACCCGTTCATAATATTAATTCAAAATAAACTATTATAAATTTTTCCGTTCATATTACCGTATAATATAAATATTTGTTAAAATTTTGAAATGTATTAAAAATATTATTAGCATTATAGTTTTTTAAAATTTAATCAACGAAGGGAGTGTACAACTGGTTTTTAAAACCACATTATAGTGTATGCAATAATTTTTAATTTTTTATGTTTTGATTTTGTATGAAAAATATATTTTCGATATACATGTATAATTCAAAATTAATGATATTAGTTACCAAAATATTTTTAACCCGATTTTTTATATATATTTTTAGTTCTATGAATTTTAAAAAATATATTTTTAATATTTTAAATTATACATTTGAATTTTACTTATTATTTTATTATTAATTTGTAAATAAATCATAATCGTAAATATATTATATAAACAACATAAATATCATATCATTTACATCATTATAAATATTTTATATTTCAAATATTACCATTATTTTTCATATGTGAATTTAAAAAAAAAAACAAATTCTAGATATTTTTGATAAAAATGTTTAATAGTATAGAAATTATTTAAATTAGAATCTTTAAATCAGATCTAAATTAATATCTGATTTATTATTTTAATTAAATCAAATCGAATCTAAATTACCTATATTTAAGGAACTCTAAAAATATTTAAATTAATAACTAATTTTCAAAATTAAATATAAATAATTATTAAAATTATTTTTAAACACTTAAAAAAAATTAAGAGTGTTTGGAAGCAAGTACTAAATGTGCTTCTGTTTTAATATAATAGATTGAAATGTCCAATTAACTAATTAAAACTTAATCTAATAATACAATAAAATATTAAGATAATACACATAAAATTTTAAACAATTAGAAAAATTATATTTTTATTCTCCTTTTCTTTCTTAAAAATCTTTACAACTCATTATTCTTCTTACCAAAATAACCACATATTTAATTGGTATCTGTTAATAGTTAAGTTTTTCTAATATATTTTTTTCATCTAATATTAGATTTAGTTTAATTTGTGATTTAAATTTAATTACAAATAAAAACTCAAATAATTGGTTAATTTATCTACTTTAAGGAAATATATTTCAGAATTTTAGATTGAAATAAGTTTAAATTATAGATATTTTTTGTAGTTTTGTGAATTCAAAACCGATAATGGTAATTATTTTTGTATTATTGATTTTATATAATTTAAAACAATTAAAGTTATTATTTATTTTATATGAATCATATTGATTTTATTGAATTTGTGACAATGATAGTTAATTGGGATCTTTTTTTAATATCGTTTACGGGTCCCAAAACTCTAGGCACGGCTCTATTGATAGGTCAGAGTTTCTTGATAAAGGTGTTTATCTGTTTGAGTTATATCACTGAACAACTTAATATCAATCAGGTTATCATGGAGAAAATGTAAGAAGTGTTTACAAGCTATATTATCCATTGGACATTCGCAGACCACTTTAGTAGTTTCATAACTCTTTGTCAATGTTTCTGTTATATCATTCAAAAGCTGAGTGATACCTTAAAAAGTTTTTGAACAATAATAATACATACTCGTGGAGAAGAGTATGTTTTTCAAAATTACTTTTGACTTTTTTTCATAACTGAAACCAATGAACCTTGAAAGTTGTGAAAGAGTAAGAGTATAGTTCTTGAAACTTGCCACAATGAAACAAATAGACGAACAGAGGACAATACAAAACTCAAGAGACTAAAAGTTTTCAGACAACGACTCAAATCTTTTCAGGCAGCGAGATCAGGAAGTGTGTTCTGAATGTTGTAAGGCATCAAGATGTTGAAACCATCAGCAGCAGTTGAGATGATCATCCCTGGAATCTGGTTGTGCCAGTGAAGTTCCTTCAAGTCCTTTTGTCCCTGGAATTCCCGGTAAAATGCGAGGTTTTCAGAATTTGTTTGAACTAAACACGAGCTTAGGAAATTAAAGTAAAATGTTTACCTGGTGAACGAAGAGAAGCTGAGGAGGCAAGTCTTGAGGTGTGTTGACTTGTTCCTTGGTCTGAGCTTTGAATTCTGCTTCCTCTTCCTCATCCTTCTCTAAGGATAAATCCCATATCCTGCAGATAGCCAAACCCCATTAGACAGATTCACAGTTTTTATGAGGATTGTCGATGTTTTATGTATAAGCTCTGTGACTCACGTGAGCTGGTTATCGTCCGAAGAGACTGCAAGAGTCGAGGATTCATGAGCGCTCCACTCAATCGACGTGATAGCATGCTTATGATACTCAAAATGTGCTACCACAGCTTCTCCACCCTAGTTCAAGATTCAAATGCTATCACATCAGAATCTTGTTAAGTTATTTATATGGAAATCATAAAGCTATGGTCTTCAACGCACCTTGATAAGTCTTAGATCACGGATAGAGAATGTCCCGTCATCACTCCCTGAGGCCAACATGCAACTAGCCAGCCTTCATGAAAGAGTAGAAATAAAGAATCAGCCATATGTCGGTAACAACACAACCAAAAAGAATCAAGTTACACATTAAAAGTGGCGGAAAAACCTGTTCCATGAGATGACATTCACATCTGTGTTATGTGCCTTGAAAACTAACGCAGGCGATTTCCCAACTCGGACATCCCAAATTGCGATAGTCCCATCCACAGAACACGACGCAAACACGTTATCTTCAGCTGGACTCCACTGGAACAAAGAAAAGAATGTTCAGCCTTACGTAGAAAGTAGCAGTAGACACACAATTTAGCTACAAAGTGACATATATTACTTGTAAATCTTCAACACTTGCACTGTGTCCGGCGAATGGAATAGGATCAACAGTCCATGAACCAGAAGCTGGCTCCCACAAATGAATCATACTCTGGCAGTCCCCTAAACGGTGGAGAAAAAAAATAAATACACATTGACTATGTTGAAAAGCATGTAATTGGTAGAGTATAGTAGAAATTACTGAGTTAACTTTACCGGAAAGTAGTCTTCCAGCGGTTGCAGGACTCCAATCTATAGCATAGCCTTCGTCTTTGTGGCCAGCAAAGTTAACTAAAGGTGCTTGGTTAAGAACCGGTGAAGTTCCATCTTTACCTTCTGTTTCTGACTCAGCTAAAGCATTAAGATGAGAGCTCAAGTCCCACACCTGCCCAGAAATACAAAAGCCAAACCACTTAATATGGGACACATATAAAGAAACCCGTGTAAGTAGACAAGAATATATCTTGATCGTTTTTGTTTCTTAATGCCAAATGCTAAACTAATACCCATTACCCAACTGCTGAAATATAAGGTCGTTATCTTACCTGTACATGACCAGAATCTCCCCAAGAGACACAGATATGAGGATTTTGAGGCATTGCACGAATGCGATTAACACATCCATGGTGAGCAACCCTGCGGACCTGTTTATCAACAAAAAAAAAAAAATGATACAAAGTATTAGCCCTGAGGACTCTCTCGACTTCAGAGATGAATAACATTATAGTTAGGAAGAATCAATAATTACCTGAATATTTGGAACAGTGGAAGCTTCATCTTCGTTTTCCTCATCACTGTCCTCATCTTCGTCATCCTCATCCTCCATGGCATCATCACCATTCACTAGCATCTTGGGCGCTACATCGCGTCTCTTACCAGATACGTTGCTGATTTTAAATAATCCTACGGAGTTCCATTGTGCTTTCTCAGCCTAACGAAAGGGGAAAGAAAAGCATTCACAGGATTACAATGAAACTTAATGAGAGCAAAAAAAAAAAAACACATTTGAAGATATAAAGTTACAGGAGTTACCTGAGTCCCAGCCACCATATACAAAGTGTGAGGAAACTCAGTTCGGTTCAAACCCAACTTATCACCTAAAATGTCAAAACTGGACAAACAACAGAAACCTTCAAAAATCACCAAACTTACATTGTAATCATTCAAAAACAGTAAATTTCTCAACTTTATGAATTCAGATGTGAGAACAATCCCTAAAGTATAACGATTTGAGCTAAAATTGTTTAAATTACCTCAAACATGGCCAACCAACATGGAACCCGTGAAGGGAATTATAAACAGAAGCGTCGCACTGAAGTTCTTCACCCTCTTCGAGCTTATCGACACCTGGCTGCCAAACCCTAGTTGGAATCGATGGTATCGAGGAAGAAGACGCAGCTTCCTTCTTCTGTCACAATCAAAACATCCAAATTCACGTTTAATTTGGGAAAATATCAGATTCTAGAATGAAACAAGAGCAAATTCGGATTCGAATTTCAAACCTTGTTCTTCCTCTTCGACTTCTTAGGGTTTACGCTGCGACCCATTTTTGCCTCGTTATGATTCGAACTTTTCGAATGATGAATTCAGCTACAAGAGGTTCTTCATTTTCGTTAGGGTTTAAGCAATTTATACCTAGAGAAATAAATTCTCCTCCTTTTTTTTTTGCATAAATATCCACTGTTTGTTCATAATTATTCTAAATTCCTCGACCTTTCAGAAAGTGAAAAAATCACCCCAAAGTTACCACGTTAAAACTTTTGTTACTATTCGTTGATTAGAGTTAACAACAATCAAGAACTAAATAAAAGGCAATGGTCTTTCAGTGTACCAAACAAAAAAACCAAGTACACTGTAGTAGTATATATCTCTACTTGGAGAAGAATTTGTCCCAATCGCGAAGCGAAGAATCAACAGAATCATCAGGGAGAAATTTGGGAATCCTCTCGGCGCGAATGAACTGTTTCAAGATAGCTTTCTCTTCATCGATTTTCTTCTTCTCTTTCCTGTCTTTTGGTTCCATCTTCCTCTTCTCTTCCAAGATCCACTTGAAGAGCTCTCTTTGCTCGTCTTCTGGAATCGGTTTCCTTGCTACTTTTACAGGCTCAGTTGTCACAGTTTGAAACACCAACTCGGCAGCTGCATCTGTGAATTCAAACAGAGGGTCTGGTCTAGTGATCGGTTTGGCTTCTTCCTTCTCCGGCATTGTTGCAGTTTCTGGTTTCTTGGCCTCATCGGTTTCTGCAAATGCGCTGTTCTCTGCAGCTTTGTTCTCGACTTCGGTGTTAGCAACTCCCTTTTTCACACCTTTAGTTCCCTTTTTAACTCCCATCTTCTCGCCCGCATCAATGTCCCTTTCTCGTTTTTTAGCGAATATAAAAGCTGCAGATACAAAGGATCAAAATTAGCAAAGACCGAAGTGGACTATAATTGAAAGCTTATAATGCCAGAAATCAAGTGAGCGTTTCTCAGTTCATTCAGACCACGCTTATTGTTCTGCCAGCAAAGGATATTTTCCAATAGGAATCAGAACATGATTGAGATGGCTTTAATGAGAGTATGCTATACAAACCTAGCGTAGTTTTAGAAAGAACATGCTTAAACATACCAAAGTCATGAGATGTGCAATGCAATTATGTCCGTGAACCAAGAAGTTTACAAAAATCTATGTGTAACTGTTAAGCCGAGCAGGGAGAATCATTTCTGTAAAAACTGCATTTGTCTAGGTTCAATGTCATTCCATATTGCTAGGAACATCAACAACGAGCAGAGAGAATCAAAGTCTCTTGGAGTTTCATTAAGAACAGATTTTGGTAATGCCATGGCATAATCAGCTATCTTTTAGAATCGAAGCAAGCACAAATGTTCGACTGATAAATTTCTACCATTATATTTGATGAAATAGTCTCGTTTCTTGATACATTGATTAAGATAGGAAAAAAAATTCTCAGCTGGGCATTTCATCAAACACATTATGCACGCAAAATAAAACCCACCAAAAACAAATAAAAGATTCCTCTCGAACACTAACCTGCAAGACCGAGATTGAAGATCAACATAGTTCGCCATCCGACTGTAGCCAGCCTCGGAACGGCTTTCTGTAGAGGTTCGGGTGATCCAGAGGAAGACGGTTCCATCGATTTCGATGGAAATATCGCGAAACCTTACTTGGATCTTCCGTATTGCACAGCTTCTCCACGAAATAGTATCGTCGGAAAATGAAAATGTAGGTTTCAGATGCAACCCCACGATTTGGGGTTAGATTTTTGCTTCTTTGCCTTATTCGTCAAGCAAATTTTGATTCTCCGGTCTCAATTAACCTTTTTATTTCCAGCAAAAATGTTCTTCGCCTTGATCTCCTTCTACGAGACGTCTCTCTGACTGATCTTGGACGGTATAGTTTGCGATTGGGTCTCGAAAGTCTCTAACTCACCGAGAGACTCTTATAGCCCAACACAATAAGATTAGCACTGCCTTTTTTATTTATTATTATTGTGTAGTCAAATGGTCAAAAATTAACAATCCTTTTTTAGAGCTTAATAAAAAAGTTCTAATTCTGTAGCCCGTTCGGTTTGAGATAAAATAATTTGGCCAAGCCCTCTATTTAAGGCAATGCATGAATTGGTTTAAAAGCTAATAAGTAAAATAACACTAAGTTGATCAAAATAGCACTTAAAGTCTTAATGAAACAAAGATTAAATGTACCCCTAAAACAATTTGGAAAGGTCCTAACAGCTACCAATATCTCAAAAAAAGACAAACCAGCATTTGACAAAACCAAGACTCTTGCTAAACCGACAACTAAACCTCATTAGTTATCATCACCATAGGCGATAGATAGATAGATAGACAACGGTAGTTTTTATTATCTTTGCTCTCAAGGCTTGGAGGCACATGTCATAACATGCGACTTGAACTTCTCCAATTCTGCCAGGACTTCCTCTTGTGGTCTGTAAATCAAGTCACTCATCCGCCATATCTGCCAAAGAAGAAGAAAGTATAAACAACATTTTTACGTTTTATCGACAAAATTGCTCATCATCGGAGTACAAAGAAAGTGTTTAAAGGTTACCTGCAATGTTCCACCTCCACCAGTAGTCTCACAGTCATCCGAAACACTGACAATAGTCCAAGGATCCGACGCGTTCCAGTGGAAATCAACCACTTTGTCCCTATGAAAGTATATATATACGAGAAAACTTAGAAGCAAGTAAACGAGAAAGCAATGAAGAGACTTGGGATTAAGTTTTTTAAGAACCTGTGACCAGCATGCTGGAAGAAGAGCCCAGCAGGACTTTTAGCTGCACGATCAGACTTCTTACTAACCTGATGGACGATTAAACAATACCAAACATAAGTACAATAAATAAGTTTTCGTGAAGATAGTGAAGAAAGAATAATTCAGACATATCTGAGTTGAATTATGTACAGACCCTGTCATAATCCCAGATGTTCAAGAGACCATCTTCTGCAGAACTCCCAAAAACAGATGACTTATCAGGAGACCACTGCATTGATATAACATGATGGTATCAGTGAGTTAAACTAGGTACAAGTAATATGATGAAAAAAGAACATAATAGCTTTTGTTCAAACCTGAACACAAAGGACAGCAGCTTTGTGGCCCTCAAATTTGTAAATAGGCGTACCGACTCCATTTGCGGTCAGGTTCCTACGATCATACAGCCGGACAGTGTTGTCTGCTGACCTGAAACATTCAATTATATCTATTAGTACACGTAGGCATAGTCTATAAGTTTTCTTAATTAGATACTAAGTGTGCCTTAATCCTCTGTCTGTGCCATATATCTATTTCTCCATACCCTGTCAGGATCAGATTGTCGTCATGAGGATTCCAATCGACACAATGAAGATCAGCATCGTGCGCTTTTTCAACCTGGTAAACGCACAAAAAAAAAAAGATCAATATATAGAAGAAGGTAAAACTTCAAAATTTTGATAGGATCAAGAAGAGACATTACCTTCGTGACAGGGCTAGTGCCAGTTCTTGCATCCCATAGTATAAGGCAAGAATCGTCACCAACACTGCAGAATTCTTGTGCACTTCCCGACATAAAAATTCACCAGAAGCATCATCAGAAAAGCATGAAAAATGCTTCATCAGAAAAGCATCATCCCGAGATCAAAAAGAGGAGACTGTTTAAAGAAGTTACCTAGTCGGGCTGAATGCCACATCTTCAACCGTATCGTCATGGCCAACATATACACCTCGCGGACCGACAGTAGGACTCTCAGTTTTTTCACCACTTTCACCAGTCTGTTTGATGATAGATCCAGATGATTTGGAATCTGTACCAACCGTTGTGATGTGGTCCTGGATGCTCCACAAAACAACTGACTTGTCCTTGCCTGAGAAAAGAAACTTTGTATGAGAAGCGGGAAAACTACGAGATCAGACATTACGAATCACAGAAACACAAACCTCCAGAGAGGACAAAGGGTTCGGTTGGGCACATTGCCAGAGCAAATTCAGCATTATCTTGGTGTCCAGTGAGAATCTGCAAGAAAAATGGTTTAGATGATGCACAAGAAGTAGGAGTTTTCAATTTAGATATCAAAGAGTCGCTTCCAATGATCAAGTTACGACGAACAAGAATGAAGCGGAAGAAATGATTTGCAAAGACATTTTTCAGAGGTGGACATACCAAATCCGGGCGGGAATTTGCAGCTCCAAGCACAGCATGACGGTTTGGTTGGGTTTCAACATCCCAAATGAGAACCTGGAATCAACATATTGTTAAACTGTAAATAAGTCCAAAATAAAGAATGCTCTTTGACTGCCAAATATAAAGAGGTATGAAACCAACATATTTCAAGATGCTATGACCATAACAAAATAGAAGAAGCAGCGCTTACATCAGGACTGTCAGTGTGAGTAGCAACGATCTTGCTGTTCTGTGGGAGTTCTCTGATTCTGTTAACCTGCAATTGCAAATTAGTGATGAATACACATCAAAACAGGGTTTCACATTCATCAAAGGGCCAAACGAGTATAGTCATGCAGATACAATAATGCACCAAACAGAACTAGACGATCTTGATACAGGAATATCTAGAGTGGGCAGAATTCACACCTCTCCAGGGTGAATGATGGTTTTGTACTTCTTCACAAATGGAGAACGTGCTTCCTCATTGAACTGAAAACACATTCGCAGAAGATAGTAAATAAGTGTCGTGACAGGAAATCGATTGTAGAGGGGAGCATGATAAGTAAAAGGTACAAGATTAATAGCAGAAACACTAACTACCTGAGATATATGCTCTGCTGCAGCGACCCTTGGCTTAACAACTTCGCAGTTCGCTATGACTAAAGTGTTGGGCACACTGCCATCAGTCTGGTGACACAACCAAGTAAAATACGAATTTCAGAGAACATGAGACAAACGTTATTGCAAGCAAAGCAAGAAGCATGGAGAAAGCAATAAACCTACTTGTTCAGAGAGGTACAGACGCTGGCGATTCTTGTAGGTTGCTTGTTCGAGTTGTGGACCCCATCTGTTTCAAACCAAACAACAAATTCACCAACTAAAGACTTCATCAAAATATGAACACAGCTTAACATTTGAAAACATTGACCTTTCCTCAAAATTGAAAGTAGCCTAAGAGCTACTTGACAACATAGAATAATTTGGAACCAAGAAAGTAAGACCCTTTGTGCTGGTTAAGGCTTATCTAATTCCCGAGGATGATGCAAAATTAAACCTTTACAAGCATCAACGATATCAAGGCGTGAAGAAACAGCCACATCAAACCTTAACTAGAGGATTCGCAAACCAAACAATAAATTCACCAACTGGATCTCTAAGCACAAGAACTAAAGACTTCATCAAAATATGAACACAGCTTAACATTTGAAAATTAAAAATTTAACCTTTCCTCAAAAGTGGAAGTAGCCTAAGAGCTACTTTTTATAACTCAGCATAATTTGGAACCAAGAAAGTAAGACCCTTTGTGCTGGTTAAGGCTTATCAAATTCCAGAGGATGGTACAAAATTCATGAATCGAACATCAAAGACATCAAGGCGTGAAGAAACAACCACATCAAACCTTGAAAAGAAGATTCGCAAAAACTCACTTAAACCCAGAAATCGAAAAACTACCTCTGAGCATTTCCCTAAATCAAGAGGAAATGCAATTCAATCCAAACATAAGAATGTTTATAAAGATTCTCGAACAAACTCTACTTGATAACCCAGGAGCAAAGAAAAGTTAAAGCCGAAGATACGATTAACCGAAACCCTAAAAAGGACAGAGAGAATAAAAACTCGGACCTGCAGGAGAGTGAAGGCCAGACGAGGTTATGGTTGGCGAGCCAGTCGTAGAGAATGGGGACGAGACCTTTCCACTGAGAGTACTTCTCGTCGACACTCGGCTGCTGCGTTTTCTTCCCACTTTCCTTCATTTTCCCACCGCTGCTACCGCTCTGTTGCTGCGACGACGGAGTCTGAGAATCTTCCTTGCTCTTAGGTTTCCGGCCTCTCTTCTTCGGCCCCGGAGTTACCGTTCCTCCGCTCGCCGTCGTGCCTTGAGGAGACGCTGCTGCTGCTGCTTCGTCGCTCTCCATTTTCCTTTTTTATTTTTACTTGTTTGTTTTTGTCTTCTATTGATTACTTTAGTAGAATCTCTCTACTGCTTTTTACACAAAAACAATCACCGTTTCCTTTTATTTTATTTTTATTCACTAAAATGGATACTTTGTTTTTTTTTTTATGATGAAAAATCCTTAAAATAATGTATGAAAAATATATAGGATTAACCCAAGATTAGCTCATTTTGATGATATTAGAGTAAATCGAATAATAAGGAAAATTTTTTGAAAAATCTGAATAGAAAAAAGGAAAGAGAATGTGTGATTGTTACTCGATACTCACTCACTCATAAGCCGCTGATAAGAAACCAAACTCCAGCGATGAACAAAACCAAAAAAGAAGACAAAGAAAAGGAAGAAGAAGACGACGAAGAATCAACAATCTGAATAGGGAAATTGCACTGTCCCTGAGATATGTTCTGTGTGGTAATGGTGGCCAAACCTTGGAAGATACAAGCACCTTCATCCTGATTCTTCACTTGAAAATACATGTTAAACGCATAAGAAGCATTCCCATTTGCATCAAGACCATTGCATGATGACCCGTAACCAAGCCCCGTGCAATCCGAGTAAGTGCATGCGAAATCTATGTTAGCCGCCAGTTTCGTCAAATCTTTAGCTTGTGGATTAAAAGTACACCACTTGTTTGGTAGATACGTCACGCCTTGTGCACCTATCAACATCTTGTTCTGTCCTTGTCCAGATAAATCTATAGGAAACTTTGGCTGCCCGTCGAACTTGAATATTCCCCAATGGCGTTCGAAGTCTCCAGGTGCTATACTTTTCGCATCCTCATCTAGTAATCCAAACAAGTATACTTCAATGTAAGTGGGTCTCAATGGAGTGCCTTTGTTAGTTCCAAGCCTTGGTAAAAGCCCGTTGTAGAATCTGTAAGCATTTCCTGCAAAAACCCGTTTTTCAAAATTCTAAATTCCATGTGAATATGACATCTAAAGTACTGAGAAAATGTTGTAGAAGATATAGATATCTACCGGTGTTTGCATGTTTGTCACCCTCTGTTGGCCAACCAACTTCTCCAACGATTATAGGCATGTCTCCATGACCAACAGCTTTCAAAGCCGATACCAAAGTGTCGAAATTGGCATCGAAAACGTTTGTGTAATCAACACCGTTGTCATTTATCGGTTGAGCACCATCGAAGAACGCGTAGTTGAGTGGGAAATCGTCATTTCCATAGAGACTCAAGAAAGGGTAGATGTTAATAGTGATGGGAGCGTTGTTCTTGCCAAGAAAGTCGACAATCTGAGTCATTTGACCAATGATATCAGGACGGAATCTTCCAGCAGATGGCACGGGGTTGCTTGCTGGTGAATCGTAGACATCTGCGTTCAGAGGGACTGTTGCTTTGACAGAGTTTCCTAGTCCGGCTTCGTTTAAAGCGTTTTGGATGTTTTGAAGTGCAGGGAATGTGATGTTTATGAATGATCCGTTGTATGACTTGAGGAATGGCTCATTCCCAACAGCTACAAACCTGAAACACACATCCACAAAAGGTTAGCTTCATTGAGACATATAAACACATATTTGTCTGATGCATTTGATGACCGTGTTTGTTTAAAACATTTACTTGTCAAAGCAGCTTTTCACCAGACATTTTAAACATAACTCAATCTTGAAACATTCTTTGTATTTGTTTGCTCAAAATCTCATAAACCCTTTGACTGTTTTTAGTTTTAAATAAGACTTATGAGCAAGCAGACGACATTAGAACCAAACTGAGAAAGAAGAGAAGGAGAAACTGACGTGATATTGACGCCGCCTGTGAAGTTATAACGAGTGACATTCTTGCGAACCCAATCCTTGGCACGGTCGTAGCTGCACATGACCTTAAGCTGATCATTGGGAATAGCGACCATCACTTGGAGGCCAGAGCCAGCAAGTGCACTCATGGTGGACTCGTCCGCGTCGAAAAGCTTAACCTTGTTGATGTTATTATCCTTTAGCATCTGAACCACTGTCTTTGGTGGCAGCTTGTGTGTGGCCATTGTTCCCCAGTTCACACCTAACCCATCTACCATAATACCCAGAGTACCTATTAGGATTGCAAATTCCACAACGAGGGCCAACTGATTCGCCATTCTGAGAAAGAAGAAAAGGAATTACCCACCACAGTCAAGCGTGAAAAACTAAAAAAGAAAAACAGAAGCATATTTGAAAACTAAACACCAACTCTTAACTAGAAAATTCACAAAGTCTCACTAAAACACTTGCAGAAGATAGAAAATATGTGTGAGGATACCAAATCCATTGTAGAGAGGAGCTTGAGAAGGAAAAAGGCAGAAGATTAGATTAGTAGCAAAGCTAATAATTACCTGAGATATGTGCTCTGCTGCAACAACACTTGGCTTAACAACTTCACAATTTACTTAGAGAATTGGGCACATTGACATCAGTCTGGTGACAGAACCAAGAAAAAAGGGAAAATGTGATGAGATATTATTATAAGAAAATTTCAGGACATGAGACAACTGAAATATCATTGCAAGCAAGATACAAGACAAAGCAGAAACCTTCCTTGTTCTGAGAGGTACAAATGCTGGAGATTCTTGAAGGTTTGCTTGTTCTAGCTGCTAAAATAGTAAATCAAACAACAATTAAACAAAAAATGGAACCTCTTAGCACAAGAACTAAAGTATTCATCAAATATGAATACAGCTTAACATCAGGAGAAAAAAAAACTGAAATTTCGTCAAAATCATTTCTTTTTTTGGTTTTAGTTTCGTCAAAATCATTTGAAATCAAACACAACAAAACACCAAAATGTTGAATAAGGCTTACCCAATGAACGCTATCAAAAACAAAATCGTAAAACGTCCAACACGTGGCAAAAAAATTGACAGATATCCAAAACGCTAAACACAAAACCCCTAACTAGAACATTCGTAAAATCTCACTTAAACCCAGAAAATCGAGAATTATATCTCTCAGCATTTTACAAAATTAAGCGGAAATGCAATTCAATCCAAACAGCAGAATCTTCAAAAGCTTTTCATACGAAAACCTAAACTTTTAGAACAGAAAAGTAGGAAAAAAAAAAACTCGGGACCTGCAAGAGAGTGATGGGCCAGTCGTAGAGAATGGAGACGAAACCTTTTTCTCTTTGTTCGTTTTTCTCCTTTTATACAGTAGAACGCCTCTTTATCAATATTAAAAGTAAAAAATCTGAAAAATCAAAATAACGGATGATAATTAACAATATCAACATAAATTTTAATTAGGTAACATCGAAGAAATCAATGACTGAGTCAAGAGATTCTTTAGCAACGGTATTAATTTTTCAAGGCAAATTTCAAGAACATATTAGTAAAAAAAAAAAAAGTTGCATATTATAATGCAAAAAGAAGCAACCTACTAATGTATATAGTTTCCACCCATCTTTTGATTTCAACTCTTCCATTATTGCTATTTCCATTATTGCTATGTTGAAATAGATTGGATTTTAATTCACACTTCAAACAATTTGCGTGTATATTTTGCAAAACACCAAAAACTGGCCTCCATTATTACTTCAATATATTCTTGGTCATCGTCTAATCTATTCAACAAATAAATGTAAGACCACTTTGTTGTATAAAAACATCGTTCTAAACTGTGTTTGCTGGAACCATTTATGTGCGCATATTAGACATAACACTTGAAGCATAAAAATGTAAGAGTTTGTCATTTAGGTGGTTGAATGGCAGAGATACAAGCTGTTGGAAGTACATATAATCTTAAAAAAAAAATAATAAACGACATTTTTTTATGACATCATTAGCGAAGCAATGCTGCGCTGAGGAAAACATACAAGCATACGTAATGAAGATTATTTATTTATTTATTTATCAATATGAACATTTTTTGTAAAAAAAAAAACTGATTACTACTTTTTTGCCAACAATATATGATTTCAACCTAAATACGGTAGTTTGTTTCACTTGTTTAGTTGTTTTTCAATTTGCACCTAATACAGTAGAAACTCTATAAATTAATATTGATAAATTAATGAATTTGATTAATTAATAATTTTTTGTCCCAAATTTAAATTTTAACTAAATTAATTTCTTTATAAATTAATAACTCGTTAAATTAATAAATTTATAGAGTTCCAACATTATTAATTTATAGAGTTTGTACTGTAGTTTAAATTTTGTTGATCGTTTTATAATGTTGCTCTAAGACGTCATTTGATATTTCTCTTTAGATTAATTCAAAGTTTTCTTATGATCAGTATACTGCACACGCAATTTAATCGCAAAAATTTTGATTCAACATTTTTTCCACTTTCGATATAATTTTAACATTAATTAATTATTATTTGATAAAATGATAGATAAAAGATATACGATGTATATTCAAAATTTCAACCATTGATTTTAGATGTAATTGTCTTTTTTTTAAAAAAAATACATTTTAGATGTAATTGTCATTTTTATTTTTCAGATTTAATGATCGCCTTCAATTCACAGAGATAGGCTTCGCGTAATTTGATCTCCCACAAGAGCCTTCGCATCATTCCAAATCCACCTTGAACAGGATCATGTATCCATGCAACACCTTCCATGAGTATGCATAATGCCAACATAGATCTTTGTCCGACACGAGCTCGTCTCATCATTCTTATAATATTTTGTGTACCAAACAGCTCACTAGCACTTTCGAACTCGTCTTGCCTATAAAAGAAATAGATAAATTAGTATCAATTCAAAACACAATTTGATAATCATGCTTATAACAAACAACTTAATTAGCAGCAGAAATTAGTCAGCAACAAATATAGGAAAATGAGTACAATTCAGAAGGAAAATATGCAGCAAATTCGCAATTTCTGCTGCATCTTTTGTTTCTCGTGGTGCAAACTGCACAAGGACCGGGTCCAAAATTGTCTCCGAAGGCTTCCATCGCAATTTTTCAAAATTATTTTGATGAAATAAATCTGTAAATTAGGTAATTGAAAGATGAATATAAAGAACACCAACGAAGAAGTATATATAGGCGAGTTTCTGCAAAATAAACTCAAAAGAAATTTATTATTATATCCAAAATTAGAGGATGTTCTTAAAAACTTCATGGTTTTTTTGGGTAATAACTCAAAATTTTGTTTGACTTCAAAATATATAAATTTATATAGATATTGCATTCGACCAAACATATATAAATAGGTAATGCCATACTTATAACATGATTAAGGCCAAACTATTTTTAGTCACATATATAATTACAAATCCCTTATCTTTTATTAATTGACAAGTTTAAATTTAAAGTATCTTTAGTTTAATTATCTTTACATCTCATGCCATTAGAAATGTTTGCAAATCCTATTGTTTACCTAAATTATAAATGGGCTTAAAAATAAGTTGCACAAATACAATGTACTACATATCTTTATGGTTCTTATTAATTTCATAAATCTAAATATTGGTGTATTTACAGATTTAATAATTTTAAAAATAGATAAATTAGTAAATTTAAGAAAGAAAGAAAGAAATATAAATAAAAGTTGAGTAACTTTAACATTCTAATTTCTATTTGTCCTTGTTTTTCATTTATTTAATTATTTTACTTTTATTATATAAAAAATTATTTCCTTACAAAATTAATAATCAAATGTCAAATAAATAATTACTTTGTAAATAACAATACTAAAAATAGAGAAATGAATTGTGTTATTTCATGACCGTTAGAACATGATTAACGCGGTATCTAACATAATATCTTATAATTATTTTATAATTTTTTAATCAATTGGTTTTAAAAAGTTTTAGAAAACGTCTCTTATTTTACGACCATAAGAGACTGTTTCTCCCTTCACATGGCACTACCAAAAAAAGTGTTGATAGCATCAAATAAATTATATTAGAAAAATAATTGATACTAATTAGAGTCATTTATTTACAAGTGACATAAATTATACAGTATTAACATCAGTTAATACAAATGATTTTATTATTAGTTTATATGGCATCGATTGCATAAAACTGATACTAATTTATTTTAAATCACATCAAAAACCAAATTTTACATCATTAGATAATTGATATATATATTAGCATCACTTGAATAAAATAATGCAAATTTTGTAGCAATTAAAAAGTGATGCCAACAAACAACTTTAATTTAATTTGGTCAAAACTTATTTGTCCCACATAGGTTAGGAGAACTTGAGAGGAGAGAATTGCTCCTCTATAAAATAAACTCATCATTGTTAATAATCGTATGATTTTATTAACTTCAACCAAAATTTTCGACATAAAAAATATTTTTAATAATAATTTTAGTTAATTATTGTATGAGAGTTCACAAAATATATTTATATTAATAAAAAAACAAAACGGTTTTTATATAAATTTTAAAAATAAATTAAAATTTATACCAAAATAGCATTTTTAACATCAATTATTTATAATTGATACAAATATTAATATCATTTATAATAACTGATGTAAAATTTAATATCATTTAAAACAATTGACATATATTGATATCAATTATTCTAATTGATGTAAATATTTAAAATATTTACATCAGTTATTAATGAACTGATATAAAGTATTTGCATCACCACTTTCAAAATATTTTTTAAATGATGTAAAATTCTTTTGCATCAGTTATAAATAATACAAATAAATAAAATAAATGATGTATTATGATGTTTTTTTTGTAGTGTGGCAGCTCTTCCAAATTTAATAATTAAAAAAAGTTTAGAAATCTAATTGGATTTATAGCAATAATCATGGTCTTAGTTAGTGACTTCTCGCATGCAAGTATGCAACAAGAACTTACTTGACTATTTACATATCTTATTTCTAGCAACCATTTTTTGAGAATCAAAGAACCTTAACTAGCGGATGAAAATTGCAAGAAATAGAAAGTGAAGGAAAGATCACACAAAGTTTATGAGTTCGGATTATTCAGAATAAGCAACCTAGCGTATGTCCCAAATTCCAAAGAGGGATCTTCACCTATTCAAAGCAATACGTGGACAAAGCAACCAGTCTTTTAGAAGTATCATGCATGTTATGGCTAGCTCAAATCTGTAGGACCAAAATATTGAAAACTACGAACCAGTAATTAAGATACGAGATTTAGAAAATAAACTTAAAAATGAGTGGATGCGAAACTATGATCTTTTTCCTTAACTCTTTGAATCGCCCGTAATGCGACGGGGTTCTGTGATACAAGAGTCGCATGATACAACCACAACTATCCGTTTTCAGAAGCACTAAGAAACAGGGATTTACATAAACTAATTCTACTATACTCGCAGCAGAGGACTTATAAAAATAAATAAAGAGAGAAAAAGAGACTGTTGCAAAAACAAAGAAAGATAGAAAGAAAGACTGTTGCAAAAATTTCAGAGTAGAAAATGAGAGGTGAAGATGTAAAAAATGAGAGGAGAGGTTGTGTATATATAATGGAGGAAGAGACTTGAGAAGTCTTCAAAATCCCATAAAATCTGCGAGTCAAACACGATTCTCGGCCATAAATTTAACATAGTCAAAGGCAAAAAATCAGCAAATATGATTAATCACAATCTGTTACGTTTTTGTGGGGATAATCCAATATTCTTTTGACTGAATCAAAAATATATGCAGAAAGTTAACATAAAAACATTGACCAAGCGCTCATAAAAATATGGCCCAAAAAGAATACCCGCCTTAGACCCGAAGGTCCATTCGACCAACACGACCCGCGCTCGGCCCGGCTTGACGGCGGCGGCGGCATGTGCGTGGGGCTTATTCTTTTCTCTTTCACATGTTATTTGAAGATGTATGAAGCATATCTTAATATATAGTAGAGATTTTCCCAACAAACCATTGATGTGGGACAAAATCACATTATTTCCTCTTCATCTTATTTTAACACACCCTTATTGGACTTTTAAAATTCAGCCCAACAGTCCCCCACATGAAGAGAAATAACTCTAAACATTTAAAGACTCAATTGACTCGATAAAAACTTCACTCAACTATACTAGACACGACTCTTACTAGACTAGACAGTCATCCGAGAGTATGCAAAAATGCAACTGTATCTGAGAGGAGC